CGCAGCGGGGGGACGGGGCTGGGGCCCAGCGGCACCCGCAGGACTGGAGCCTAAGCGAAGCGCGCCCATCACCCCCACCTGCAGACATCGACGAGTGCCGGGAGCTGAACCAGCGCGGGCTGCTGTGCAAGAGCGAGCGCTGCGTGAACACGAGCGGGTCCTTCCGCTGCGTCTGCAAAGCTGGATTCGTGCGCAGCCGCCCGCACGGGGCCTGCGTGTCCCAGCGCCGCCGCTGACGCCGCCCTCAGCGGTCGCCGAAGGGTTTCCGCCGACACTCGAGGGCATCCCGGCCTCTCGCTCCTACGCCGACTCGGGGCTCGGACCCAGGGACCCTCAAGGCCCGTAGACCCCTTCCCGTGCCCTGAGACCCGAGGGCGCCCCGCCTGGCTCACGGCGGATGTACGGTCTCGGGCGCTGTTAGCCTTCCTCCCAGAGGGCGTTGCCTAGAAACGGATAAATGGGATCACGCCTCTCTCTCGGCTTTCGAAGCAAATTGATGTTCACGTCCTCGGAGAGAGCAGACTGCGCGGGCAGCGCCAGACTCCAGCTGCCTCGGAGGGGCTAGACTGAGCCCGGCACAGGCGTGTGAAAGAGAATTTATTGTGGCTCTGATTATGTACACGTGAGATGTGCCCGGCCAGGCTGGCCGGGCTCACATGGTTTGTACAATAATAAATATATCCGTGGGGCCTGCTCTCCGCGGCCGGGAAGCGCCGACACGGGTGGTTCAGTCCAGCTTCCGGGCTCCCAGCTTCATGGGGCCCTTGGCTGCCTTCTTCTCCGCGCGTTTGGCCTCCATCTCCCGCCTCCGCTCCTCGCGCTTTTTCCGGGTCAGCGCCTGCCCTGGGGGTGGGAAAAGGAGGTGGGCTGAGGGCGGACGGGGTCTCAGCTCCCAAGCCTGCACCTACCTCAAGGGCGGGGTGGGAAGCCACTTACGGCTCTCAGTCTCCAGGCCCTCCCTCAGCGCCTGCCCTGGGGGTGGGAAAAGGAGGTGGGCTGAGGGCGGACGGGGTCTCAGCTCCCAAGCCTGCACCTGCCTCAAGGGCGGGGTGGGAAGCCACTTACGGCTCTCAGTCTCCAGGCCCTCCCAGTTGTCTTCACTCCACGAGTCCTGCCTCAGCTGAAAGGGAAGTACAGGCTGCATCGGGGCCAACCCCCGGCTGAGCTCTACCCCAGTCTGCAACCTCCCACCAGACCCGTGTTGAGTACCTGAGTGCTGGGACGTGCGGACAGAGCAGCAAAGGGGTCCCCCTTGTCGCTGGGCTCCAGACCACCCCAGTTATATTCGCTGGCCAGCCGCACGCCCTCAGGGGGTGGCTCTGGGGGGCTTGGCTCCTGCCAGCCCTGCTCCCAAGAGCCCTCAGCTTCCCAGCTGCTCCAGTCAGACTCCGGGGATTTGTGGTCTGGGTTGCTGACCTGTGGAAGAGCGGGCGGGTGAGGCAGCACTAGGCAGGGGAGGAAAGAGCCAGGTCTGCCCCGCCCTCCACCCCCCATCCAGCTCACCTGCCCAGCACGGCTCGCTTGACCCCCAGCGATCCAGTCGTCCTGCTGGGCCAACACAGACTCGGCCTCCTGCTGCAATATTGGAAGGAGGGTGCGACCACTGACACCCCGGCCCCCCTCCACTGCAGAAGAGCGAGCAAGCCGGCCCCAGCCCCTTCCCAGCGGTGGCCTCCACCCTTTAGCCTCTTACCTTCCTTCTCATTTGCTTCTCAGGCCAATTTCTTGTCTATAAAGTGGACATGCTGACCCCTGCCCACCATCACCCCTTTGAGGCTGGGGAATGAGACCTAGATGCTCCACACACACCCCCTAGCCTCAGGGACCAGAGACTGCTGTCAGCCGGATAGGGAAAAACTGGGCCCAGAGCTCTGCAACTATTCTCTTCAGAGCAGCCCCTGGTTCTAGGCCTTGGAGTGGCCTCTCCTTGCTAACCCCCAGGGCTGGGCGGGCACTGGAGCAGGGGAAGGAGGGACAGGGTGCAGAGGTGAGGACCCCGCCTCTCATTTCCGAGCCTGCCCCTGGGGGCTCCTGGAGTCAAGTGGGGCTCAGCTGCTGGCTCTGGCCTACAATGGCCATTCCATGAGGCCTATCTGGGAGGGATGCTGTACAGATGAGGGCAGGTCCCACATAAGCTCCTTGGGTGACAGCCTGTGGCTTTGAGCTAAGGTCCCCCGGGGAGGCCCCCTCAGCCCAACGCACCTCCAAGCTGCCCCAGTCTTCGTCATCCCATTTGTCAGCAGCACTGCTGTCCTCTGCTGTGTCCTTGTCCTCCTGTGTCTCATAGTGGCTTGAGGTCATGGGGGTGGCAGGGACTGGAGTGGGGGCCGGGGCAGGAAGTCCTAGGGAGCAGAGGCTCACTGAGCTTCAGGGAGATCTCAGGACAGGGCAGAGATTGCTGGGGGAGGGGGTGCAGGGAGAAGAGGGGCAGCAAGGAAGCCCACAAGGGAACTAGACCCTACCCTGTCCCCTATGTCCCCATCACCACTCCAGGGGAAGCCAAACAATGACAGCTTCTGGGTGCCAGCACCTCCCAGGCCCCTCAGCCCCTGATGCAGCCAGTCTGGGACACTCACCCTCGGGCGTGGGTCTCTGGGGGATGTGGGTCTCAGCTGGGGCAGCCGTGGGGTGTGCACGGATCAGCTTGGAGGTGAGTGAAGAGACCCCGGTCACGGCCCAGCCTGCCCAGCTGGCTGCGGTTCCTCCCACCCCAGGGCTGGAGGCTGCATGGACGTCCTTCTCTGGGCAGCAGCAGGGAAGAGAGGCGGGTATAGGCACCTCAGGCCCCAGAGAGTGACCTGTTTTGGCCCCTCCCTTCTCCAGGCCTGGGTTCTCCCATCTATGAGATAAGGTGGGGGTGTTAAGTCTGCTTGCTAAGGTTTCTCCAGCTCTCAGAAACTCCACTGGGGGTGGGACATGACAGTTGACAGTCAATGATATGGCAGGGGCAGAGGGGACATGAGTGTGGGCCACTCACCCACTTCCTCCAGCTGGGTGGGATCCTCTGACACAGACTCCAATTTGGACAGGAAGCTTCTAATGGCCTTGAAGGCCTGTGGGTTAGCAAAGGGCAGAGCTGGGGGTTCCAGGGTTCCTGAGAGCCTGCCAGGCCAGCTAGGGCCCGGAGATCCCCAGAGACCCCAGTCCAGGGCCCAGCCCCACCTGTCTCACCTGGTCCCGCACAGATTTCTCCGGGTCCACAGTGAGGCCACAGAGCACAGGCAGAATCTTGTGGGCACAGTCATTCATCGAGTAGAGGTTGTGAGTAGCAGCAAAGCCCAGGACCCCCGCGACTCGGGATGGTGCAAATGGGTCCTTAGTGGCCCGACTGAAGGCAGAGGTGAGGACCCTGTGTCTGGTCTGGGGTGGGGGAGGGGAGAGGGCTCCTGAGTGTAGGGTCAATATTGGAGCCCAGAACTGCTAGCCCTCACTTCGTAAAACAGGGGCCATACACAAGGCCCCCAGAGTCTTAAAAATGTGAATTAAGGGCCGGCCTGTGGCTCACTTGGGTGAGTGGTGCTGATAACACCAGGGCCACAGGTTAACATCCCCTTACTGGTCATCTTTTTAAAAAAAAAAAGTGGGGCCGGCCCGGTGGCGCACTGCTACAGTGCGCCGCTTGGGAGCGCAGCGGCGCTCCTGCCGAGGGTTCGGATCCCACATGCAGACCGGTTCCCGCTCACTGGCTGAGCGAGGAGCGGGCGCAACACCGAGGGTTGCGATCCCGTTGCCGGTCCCGGTCCGGTACGGGCGCGACACTGAGGGTTGCGATCCGTTGCCAGACACGAAAAAAGACAAAAAAAAAAAAGTGAAAAAGGGATGGCTGGTTAGCTCACTTGGGAGAATGTGGTGCTGACAACACCAAGTCAAGGGTTAACGTCCCCTTACTGGTCATCTTTTTAAAAAAAAGTGAATTAATCACTAACAAATGGGGAGAATTTACCTAAAACTCTGGATCTGGGCATCTCCTCCCAGATCACAGACTCCACACTGCCTCTGTGCAATAGGGGCCAGAGCTGCAGCTGCCCCAGGGATGGGGCACGTGTCTGCCTTCCTCTTCCTCTTCGTTCCTGTCCCGCTGATCTGACTCATTCATTCCCATTAACTGTCGGGGCAGGTGTCTGACTTATAAATCTTGGTTGAGGTGATATCTGTAGGCTGTGGGGCCAAGCTGGGTCGATCCCAGACCCACCCCCTACTGGCTGTGTGACCTGGCACGATGCATTCCACCTCTGAGAGCCCAGACATGGGGGCTAGGCAAAGGGCCTAGGGCTCTGTGAGAACAAGAGCCCACGCACACAGGATTCCTGGCCCTGGAGGCGGCCGTGGTCCTGTGATGGGTCTGAGGCTGCCGGCAGTTGGGCAGGACACTCACGCTGGCACTGAGGTAGGAGCCAATTTTTCCCAAGCAGACCGTAGTGTTGCAGCGGATGGGGCCCTGCTCGTCCTTGGCTTGCAGCCGCGCGAAGTGTTTCATTAGCTCCACATTGAGGTTGGCCTCGTTCAGCTTTGGGGCCAGGAGCAGCATGGACTGCAGGGCAGGGGGACAGTGAAAATTGTGGGCCAGGCAGGCAAAGGTTCACATGCAGGAATGGCCTCCCAGGAGAGTGCACAGGTCACTGGAGGCCCTCTGCACTAAGCACACCTGCCAAAGCCCTCCCAAACCCACCTCCCAGCCCAGTCCTACTAGACATGCTGAGGAAGGGGACCCTCATTTCACTGTCCCCCTTTACAGCAAAACTTCAAAAGTTTATCTGCATTCCTGTCTGCCATTCCTCTCCTCTGCTCTCTCTCGCCTACACTCCACTCACTTCCACACACAAACACATCCCCATCCCCCACGACCTACCAAATTGGCATGGTCAGGTGACTGATGACCTCCATGTTGCTAAATTGATTGGCCAATTCTCTGTCCTCACCAAACTTGACCCCTCAGCAGTTTTGACACCCCTGAGTTTTCCCTCCTCCTTGAAACTTCTATCTCTGGTCTTCCAGGACACCAGCCCCTCCTGGTTCTCCTCCAACCTCACTGGCTGCTCCTCCTGCTGAGATCTCAGTGTTCAGACACCTTAAGCTAATCTTCATGCCTCTTTTGTATCTGACACTCTTGCTCTGGATGATCTCACTGATTTCATGGCTTTAAATGCCCTCTTGTTAGCCAACCACCCCCAAGCGTGCACCTCCAGCCCAGACTTCTTCCCTAAACTTTACAAGTGTATAACCAGAGGCTGACTCGACATCTCTACCTGGCTACAGACATGGCCAAAATGGGGCCCAACCTCCTCTTGCAAACCTGCTCCTCCCAGTCTTCACACTAAACAGCAACTTAACCTTCCAGTTGCTCAGGCCAGAAGCCTCGGGGCCAGCTTTGCCTCCAAAGCCATCCATCAGCGAACACTGGCAATTCCACCCTCAGAGTGTGGCCCCTTCTCTCCACCTGCTGCTGGCCACTGCCATTCTCATCTGGGCCACTGCAACAGCCCCTAACAGCAGCCCAGCTTCCACA